ACTAATGGGGAAAGAAGCTAAGGAGGAAGGCACATCTGGCAGCGGGTCTGAGGGGAAAGGGAAGATCAGAACAAATCGCGCTTACTGCAGAGCAGGCAAGGGCTGCTGGGGTGCTTTGTATGGACTGGCCGCAGTCAGACAAAGACCCAGTGCCAATGGCATGTGAATGGGTGTTTGACTGCTCAGGCAGTATTTAACGGTATGACACCTCAAAAGCCCGTTCAGCAGCTGTTTGTAACCAAACGAGCCTTGCTCTGAACGGGCTGAGAGCTCCTCTTGCAATGTGCTTTTTAGGCCAGGTTGAGCCTACGTCCTCTGGAAGCAACACCAGACATGATTAAAAATCCCAGTCATTCCCTTTGGAAATCTCGCCCTTGCCCCTTCTGTGCCTCAGTTTCCCCCTTGTAAAATAGAAATAACAAAGCTGCCTTTTTCTAAACCTCTGTGTTTACAAAGTGCATGAACAACAAAAGTAAAAGCATCCTTGACAAGGCAGACAAAACAGTACAGTGCAGCCCTGCCCTCTGTCTTTGTAACAACACAATCTGTCGACTGCTGCATCAGAAGCTGCAAACTGCCCCTCTGCGAGCCAGCAGCACGGGATCCAACTCTGTCTGCCCTCCCGGACCCAGCTGCTCAGAGCTGGGCTTACCTGCACCGGGGAGGATTGTGAGTTTACAAGCTTGCAGGGTACTCGACTGAGGGTGCCAGTCCCTGCCAAGCATTTTACTCGTATCACATCAGTTAGTTTGTGGATTAGCTTTCAGCTGCTTTGCTCCCCAAACTTCTGCAGCTGAAATCCCCCGCCTGTACAGGAGCTCACTTGGCTGCCTGGTCTCCCACCTTACTGCCTGCTGCATGAAGCGATCAGGATCCACTGCTGAAAACGTTGTCAGGACTGTCCCCGTAGGCACCCCTTCCTCCAGCCTGATTAACTTGTGGTTTGTTGGGAAATACGGTGCTTCGTTGACATCTGTGACTGAAATGGTGACTCCTGCTGTCGACTGGAAGGACATCTGGATGCCGCTGGCCAGGGGAGCTTGGTTTGATACCATCACTGTCAGCATGAAAGCTCTGTTCATCTCGTAATCGACTGCCTAAAACAAACAAACAAGTAAGTATAGAGCCAAGCAGAGAATAAATTCTACCTTCTGGCTGAAAGCTGCAAGATTTAGAAGGCAGATGATATCAAAGTCATTGCCTCATCTTGTTTCCTCCTGAGCTCAGTTCTTTTGAAGGTGTAAATCCAGACCAGCTTCAATCCAGTGGAGGATTTGGCCTTCCAGTATTTGGAGGGTCAAATAGTTAAAAACCCCCCACAAAGTAAAAATTGCGAACAGGAGGGAGGATTTGCCCTATGCTTTGTTCCAGTGCTACGTGGTTTCCAAAAAAGAACGTGCCTGTGTTAGTTGAGCATTGAACGAACAAATCCACCAAGGGCTGCTCTAAATGCAACAGGCGGAGCCTGTTAAGAGCGACCGGACAGGTACTTAACAGTGCTATTCGCATTTAAAGCTGCTGACTAAGTAACTAGGACAGTCTATGCGGACTCATGAGCCTGAAGTGCTCTTCATTTTTCCTCTTAAGTGAGTTTATAAGCAAAGGTGGAGCAGCAGGAACAACGCCTGGTCCAGTTAATCAGGCGGTCCTTCCAATGGGACCTCTCGTCCTCTTGCAAGACGCCTCGTGGTCTCCTGAGGTCGCCTACACGCTCCTACAGAAACGTTTTGCTGTTGGGCGGCCACAGATCTCTTTTCAACACGCACATAAAGGCGATGTGTCTCAGGAGCTAGAAGGAGTGAAAAGCCTTTGCTGGCACAACTGACTGAACCGCAGTATAATAATAATTCCTAAACCATCCCACTAATTATTATGAGGGAAGTCGCTAATCATCTGCCAGGGAGGCTTGAGTTATGCAGGATCACACCTCTGCTTGTTAAAAAATGCTTTGCAGTAATTTATAAATTTAGAAGCGTAACCATTCTCCCTAATACCTTTTCCAGCGCTGAGTCTGCAAAGCGTACTCTCACGGTGTAAAATGCTGCGGCTACATTGACTTCGGTAGAGCTGTACTGATTTACATCAGCAAGATCTGGCTTCCATGTTCTGTTTAAAACCCAGTATTGTCAGGAGAGAAATCAAATCATAGGAGGCTACACGAGAGAAACAAATTTCAGGGGCAAAAGGTAAAACAGTGGAATCTCTATTCGATTGAAATGCAAATGTTCCTATTGCTAAATGGTTTCCTGACAGGCAGGGCCAACATTTAATAAATAAAAGGAAGCATAAAGATTCCCAGTACACCCACCAGCACTGACTCATGGACTTGTACCGCATTCAAAAAAGATGCATGGTAAAAGTTCCCATTTAAGCACTATTCAAGGCCTCGAAACAATTTGACTAATGCATTTCCTCAATTTCTTTTCACATCCCTCCAATTTATATTCCTCCAGTCATCTTTTTTTTTTTTTTTTTTTTGGTGCTAGCCTGTTTGCTAACCTTGCCCACAGCCGGTCTGCACCTCCCTCCCTGCTGGTGCTCAGATGGAGATGGAGGGGCCAATTTGAGCAGCTCCAGGGGGAACTGATGCAGGAAACCACCGGGCTCCCTGTCCGATGATGCACAGGACACATTGACCACACACATCTCTGCTAGGATGTGGCCTGATGCAAAGGAGTGGGGTTTTTTTCCCCCAAAAATCCAGAGCTGCTCACTCAGCTTCTTTCCCTCTCTTCTGGGAGCAATAAAACCAGGGCTGCAGAAAAGCAGTGCAGGGAGTGGGGCTGGACCAGGCTCACCTGGTAACGTCCATCCCACAGACTGTCCTGGAGGCATCAGTGCCACGTGCTGGCACATGCTGCCACAGTGTCCACCACGCTTCAGTCTGCAAGAGAGAGCTGATCTGCCTCCTTCTCTTCTGTGCCGATCTGAGTCCCATTTCACATATTTTATTGAAAAAAAAAAAAAGTAAAATCAAGAGCCTGTGCCTTCATGGCAGCGTTTGTGCTATTGTCCCTGGTGGGACCGGAGCCTCTTGCAGCCAGACACAATCCAGCCCGAAGCAGAACTTCTTTCACACGATAATAAGCAATTTCTACCAGAACAGTTCATACTTCTGTTCCCTAAAACTGCCTTCCTCTGAGGATAACGGTGCACAGAGCACACCATGTTCTTCACACTGCTCTAACCCCTTCTATCTCCACGCATCGCACTGAAAATGCTGCATATTGATCAGGCCAACAGCAGGAGTAAAAGCCCACAGAGCCGCTACATTTGGGACAAGGAGGTGCTGGACCGTCACCTGCTTTTTAATTTCATGTCCAAGAAGTACGTGACATGAAATTAAAAAGTAGCGCCTTTGCAGACATCCCTTGTTGGATGTTTGGTGTCTGATCTGGCACAAATGGCTCTGAAACCTCCTG